AGGAATAGAGGGGAGAATAAAGGGAGAGTCAGCAGGAGTTGGTGACTGATTGAACAGGAATCTGAGATGAAGAGGCACAGCATGGCCAAATAATTGATTGTCCAGTTCAAAATAGTTTAGAGCATGAAAGGAGTACTCTCAATCACTTCCCCAGGAGGGAATCCTGGGCCAATCTGGACACACAGGCACCTTGGTCAAAGATGAGTACCAAGGTGCGGTACCTGGGCAACAGAACATCGAGGGTGATGCTTTCGCAGGCAAGGAGTCAGGGAGGCAGAGCGGCGGGATGGAAGGGGGGTGGATGACGAGCTTGGCATTGGACTTACTGAGCTGGAAGTGTTCAGAGACATTTACCTGGAAATAACCAGCAGGCCACCCTCTTTTTAGCACCCATGGGCGCTTGCTTGGAAATGTGGGTTTCAAGCTTGAAAGAGAAGTCAGAGGTAGATACACAGTGGGTATCTTTTGACCCAGTAATGCCACTTTTAGAAACACAAATCTCAGAAATACTCATTCTTGTGCAAAATGATGTACATTTAAGGAGGCTCACTGTGGCATTGTTTGCACAAGCAAAAACTTGGAAACAACAGGAAGGCCCACCAATAAAGAATTGGTTAAATCTACTATAAGTGCCACGTGAAATGTATCTATATGTATTGAGGTATACCCTTATGCACTGACCTGGAAAATATCTGATATTTTTTAAGTATAAAGAGTAAATAGCAGTATGACATGAAAAATCTAAACAATAATTGTTTTAAAAGCTAACTTGTATATGTGTGCAAAATATGTAAAAGACCCAGAAGAATACACACCACACCATTAACAGCAGTAACTTACAAAGAAGAGAGTAGAATTAGAGGAAAGAGGGGCTTTTACTTGTTATTCTATACATTTCTGGGTGGTTTGAAACTGTTTGAAATTTGTATAAGCCTAAATTCATGTACTATATTTTTAAAGTAAAGAACAATAAACAAGGATTTTTAAAAGAGAGATTAAGGAGTTACCTTGTGAAAGTAATGATGGAGCTCTGGCAGGGTTGAAAGCCATGACCTATTCCCACAAAAGGGGGAGTGAGGAGAAAGGAGGGAGGGCCAGAGAAGACACCCCAGAGTGTGCCCAAAGAAAGTGGTCTCGTTTCCACCTCTAAGGATAAGAGATTCAGATGCCGCTCCACAGCTGAGGCTGCCCAAACCATTGCCTCCAAACTCCAAGCTCCCCTCCAGCATTACTGAGCTGATACAGGAGCCCAGCTTTGCAGGGCCCTAGATGTGTCCTAGGTGACCCACAGCTGTTCCAAACTCCACACTGTTAGAGGAAAGCCCACTTCTTTCTTAAGAGCCACCCTTCCCTACATGACCAGCTCAATGCCGGGCACCACACTGCCCTGGATGACCCACCTCCAGCCCAGGTGGCCCCTGCCCAGGCAGTCCTGACTTCTTCCTGCTTCTCTCCTCTCCCCTGATGCTGCCAAAATGTCCAGGACTTGTCCAGGTGAAGAGAATAATAGCCAGAAGCTAATTCCCTGTTCTGTAGCAGGGCTGTGTATTTGGTGGGGGGTTTGGGAGGTGGAGTCAAGGGACAGACAGCAGCCATGACTCACAGACAGATCTGACAGACCAGGGTGTGGGACGCTCTGAGGCGATTTTCTGACAAGGCTGTCAGCGCATTTCACTCCTCACTCTCAGCATGGGTCTCCTGCAGCTGGGCTGAGGCTTCCCATCCTTTCTCTCTCTTCACCTCTCCATGGCTCTCTCCCCTTTCCCAATGTCTCCTCCCCACTTGGCAACCCGTTCTGGTGCTGACTTTCTGCCTTGGTGCCCGCTTTCCAACTCAGCTATGCTTTTTTCTTTCTCTTTTAACAGAAATACATAGTCAGCTTTTCTGTCGGGGTGTCCTAGCCCTGGGCTCCTTCCTAACCACAGCAAATTTTATAGATGATTGGGAGTCCAGGGATGC